CTTACTTATGAACCATGAATCTCTCTCGTGCTTTGTCGATAGTATTACATATGCCCTCCCCCTTTTGGGGCTCAACGTGCTCATTGAGGTTTACAACATCATCGTTCAAGAGGGACACAAAGAGGCTCTGATACCACTTATAACATCCCGAACCTTTTTCTGGCCAAAATATTGTCCACTTTGTGCCTAGACCTTCATGGGTTTAGCCTTGGGGTGCATATCAAGGTGAATTTCCTTAAAGTCACTCATTATTGTAGTGCTCCACAGCGAACACGTTTAACTTCAGAGTTCTCACTAGAACTCCTCCGTTTCACCCCAAAACACGTCTTGTCAGTTAATGTTGATTTCTTAGTTATGAACCATGGATCTCTTCCCTACTTTATCGATATAAGATCCGCCTAATGTGTTACACTTGTTTTGTAAATTGGTAAACATAAAAAAGGTAAATTGCAAGGTGTGGAAGTAGTAAAAATTTCATGTTTGCCACTCAAAATATTTGATTCCATTCATGACCACTAAGTTTAGTTTAGTAGTTCAAGTTTAGTCACGGGCCGTTAGTCACTGTTAACATTGTCAATGTTTGCTGACGTGGCTAACAAAAGTGACTAATTAGCATGTTTAACACAAAAAAAAAGCTAAAACTCAACCCACCACACCATTTTAACCCGCCATGTCATTAAAATCGACCATATGACCCAACCCATGACCCAATCCATATGACCCAACCCATGACCCAATCCTGACCCACCCAACCTGAAAATATCTAACCATCAGATCCATTTTATTCGTCTCGTTCGGGTCGCAGAACACGATTTCGAAAGCACAGATGAAAGAATTAGCAATCAGGGGAAGAGGGTTCATCGATTGCGGGGAAGAGGGTTAGTCGATTTAGGCTCATCGCTAAGCTCGAACCAGCAAAACCACATCATCCTTGCCGTCAATAATCGTCGAAAACTAATTTGCGTGGGTAGAGCTGGGCTCGACGGTGACAGATTTGTAGAGGGCGACAATGAATTTGAGGAGGCGGTGACTGCTAGTTGGGGGCGATGGAGGGATGATGCGGTTCTTTGTTGGCAGCAGCGGAAGAGAGGAGATGGGAATGATAGATCTATGTTAGTGTGGAAGAAAGGAGGAAAGGGGAGAGAGGAGGGAGAAAAGAAAGTTTGGTTAGGATGGTCGGGTTAGTTAGTTGGTGAGTTTGGTTAGCAATGTGGGGTTAGTTAATGGGCTCATACGGTGGGTTGGTTTTTTTGTTGTTATTGTTAGAATCAGGGACTCAACATTTTTGTCAGTCACGTCAGCAAAAAACTAACGGTATTAATGAAGGCTAATAAAGACTAATAACTAGTTACCAAATTTTGATTACTTAACTAATCTTAGAAAGCACGAGTGAAATAAAATATATTTTATTTTTGGTCGAATGAAATAAAATATTTTTAGTAGATATGAAAGTTTTTAGCAAGGTTGTCAATTCGCGGGTTGATCTGGACCCGGTTGAACTAGTGGGTCAATGGTTAATTGGTCACCCGGTTTAGCCCGGAAATATGGAACGAGTCATTTTATTGTACTTATCCTCATAAATTATATCACATCTCATCTAACATATGAGTTATAACATATAATATTACACCAAAATAACATGTCGTACTTAGATTCAACATATAGTGAAATTTCACACACACTTATATAACATCAATATTCAAATGTTCAACTTAGGAATCCAAAGATTGAGTTAGGCGAAAAGAAAAATCAGAAAATAGGCGCATTTCGCAAACCAAAGACAAAATTGACACAATTTAACCTTCAACTCGGTACCTTATAGCAGTCGACCCGACGAGTATGTGCGATTCGTTTTTTTCACCGATCTAGGGTCAAAGTTGGTCGACCCACGATTGACAACCTTGGTTTTTAGTAATTCCACAAACTTAGCTTAGCCTAGCCATTCTTATGAAGACGTACGACGGGCCGGGTCGGTTGCTGTAGTAAATCCGATTTATCGTTCTACCTCTACCCGTTTTCGGTATTGAACCCTAATTTAAGATTTAATTAGAAGAATTGCAGAAAGGGGGAGAAAAAGGATCTGTATTCTCAAAATCGAATCCGGACTTACAAGCGTCTCCATTTGACGAGTCCTTCTCCTCCATTCTTGGAACCCAAAAACTTGCGGAAGCGGCAAACGAAAGGATTTATCCCAATTAGGTAAAAGGAAGGTCTTGATCCTTTTCCTTGCGCCTCTTCTCTCTACATTTTTCTGGTCCCCGACTATTCCTTCATGTGAGAAGGGTCACTACTCTTCTCCAAAACGCAGTTGAAAACCCTGTACTCAGTTCTGATTCCGCTCCGCTGAACTTCTCTATTCTTTTCTCATGGCCACCGAAGCCACCGCCGCCGCTGATTTCCAGGGCCCAGATTTCAGACCAGTTCCTCAGCCCCCTGGTTTGCATCCCGAGCTTTTGGTGAAAGCCCACGACGGCCTTTATTTCTGGCAGTTTATGATCGCCGGCTCCATAGCCGGTATGGTAGAGCACATGGCCATGTTTCCAGTCGATACAATAAAGACCCACATGCAGGCAATTGGGTCCTGCCCAATCAAGTCCGTAAGCATCTCTCACGCTTTCCGTTCCATTGTGAAGTCTGAGGGTACCGCCGGACTCTACCGCGGGATTGCTGCAATGGGTCTCGGGGCCGGACCTGCCCACGCGGTTTATTTCTCGGTCTATGAGACGTGTAAGAAGCGGTTTTCTGGGAATAATCCTAACAATTCACTAGCTCATGCTGCTTCCGGAGTGTGTGCTACCGTTGCAAGCGACGCCGTTTTCACTCCCATGGATATGGTGAAGCAGAGATTGCAGCTGGGGAATAACACTGTGTACAGGGGAGTTTGGGATTGCGTGAAGAGGGTGTTTAGAGAAGAGGGTATTGGTGCTTTCTATGCATCGTATAGGACTACAGTTTTGATGAATGCCCCTTTCACGGCTGTACATTTTGCCACCTACGAGGCTGCGAAGAAAGGTTTGGCAGAGATTTCGCTGGATAGTGGTAACGATGAAAGCTTGATTGTCCATGCCACTGCTGGAGCTGTTGCTGGCGCACTAGCAGCTGTCTTCACCACTCCACTTGATGTGGTTAAGACTCAATTGCAATGTCAGGTAAGTTGTGCTTTTTGATTTTAGGAGTTATTTTCATAATTATAAAGCAATTAGGTGTAGGAAAAACATGGGATGCTTCATTGCATGGAATAGGGTCAGAATTATGCCAGAGATGTAGTATTTGCTAATCAGTGACATGGCTGTCATAGATAGGATCTGATACTCGCTCTATATCACTTCACGCGGTTGTCTTATTTCTGCTGTGAGTCTGTGACTGTAATCTTGGGTGTAAGTGGTCGAAAGGAGGCACTTCCTTTTATGCCGGTTCATGGTTCATCAACTTCTTCTCCTTCTGTTTGTAGTTTGTACGTGGAAACTTCAGTCTGATGCTTTGCTGCTTTATGTGCGTTGGCTTTTGATGCCAATGATTCTCTGTACGGAAAACTTTTGCCTTCACGTTGTCATCAGTTGTTTTTCAGTTTCCCCCAACATCTTTAAGTTGGGCCACTGGGTCAACAAAGTTTAATGAACACATTTTAGACTTGGTATGGGGAATGTACTACTTGACATAAGGATGCTTGAGATAGTTGATTGAACGTAGGTAGGAAGAACGCAAAATTGCTGAGGTTTTAGAGAGTGGAAACTGTTGGCCATAGCAGATGATATCATCTGCTCAACATGTTTGTATAGAAACTGGTGCGCATTGACCAATGCAGTTTGGAGACCTTCATGATTTTCTTGCACCTGTCTGGTAGCAACCCTTTGTACTCTTCTCTTCCCACTTTCCTGGACTAATAATAGGTAGGTTTGTTATAGTTAACTATTGATTTTTCCCTTCTCTAATAAGAACTAGATGGAAAGTTTGTAGCTTCATTCTCATTGTTCATGGGGGATGGTATAGCTTAGTCAAGTTTCTCTGGTTTGCTGCCTTTGAATAGACTGACATGCTTAATCACTACTAGTTTCCCAGGCCCTTTTTATGTTTCCTTGAACAAAGTAATTTTATGTTTTACTTATATGATCTATACTTCATCTTTCATGGGAATATGTTAGGTCAAGTGCTGCATTACTTGTGCATGGGAAGAAATGAAAGATCAAAACACTAATTAGTATCACCTGTAATTGTTTCCTTGCATTCTCGTGCTCTGTTGTATGATAGAATCAATGCAGATAGCGGCTAACTAACTAGAGTTGTGGGCTGCAGGGTGTTTGCGGTTGTGACAGATTCAAGAGCGGTTCAATAAGTGATGTGTTCAAAACAATTGTTAAAAAGGATGGGTACAGAGGGCTACTGAGGGGCTGGGCTCCAAGGATGCTTTTCCATGCACCTGCAGCCGCTATCTGCTGGTCTACCTACGAAGCCTCCAAAAATTTCTTCCAGGAGCTCAATGATAGTGGTAATAGCAGTGGTACTATCACCTGAACGGTGTTATGGAGAGAAGTCATGGATGGAATTAGAGTTTGATACCCTAGGCTTCAGCAACAGATGCTAGTCATCCAGACATACGTGATTATCCCTCAGAGGAGGCAATTATAGCCAGAAGCAAAGTAATCACAAATCAATTTGATGAGACTTAGAGATTATTTTTTACGAGATCGAGATTAGAGTTAATTAATGTTGTACACGCCCAGGTAATAATCCTATTGATTTCTTTCATTTTCTAGGTTTATGGACCGGGTGAAAGCTCCATGTATCATCAATCTGCATTTTCTATTTAGCCCTGCATAAGTTTTGACCTTCCGGGGATGTCTTTTATCTATCAAAGTTTGAGTTGGTAGTTGTGTTTCTTGTTATCGTTGATTCTCGAAGTTTGCAAGGCTTGTATACTGGCTTTGACCGGAGCATGTAGAACAATAAAGAGTGCGAGGATTTTCAGTTTGAAATGCTGATTTTTTCCTTTAGGAAGTTGCAAATGCCATCGAATTTGATTATCTATTGAAATGAAATGCTTCAATGCCATCAGTTACAGAACTTCATCCCATGCTCAATTGTTGTTAGCAATTAGCATACAAACAGGTTTGCCAGATCGCTAATGAATGTTATTGAGCTGAATATTGAGAAGTCGGTAACTGGAATCAAATCCAACTAGAAACTGAAGTAATTTGCTCGAAGCGTATTGCTACCACTATGATGAAGTGCACAAGTTTGGCATTCTGTACAGCAACATTAAGATTGAGGTTCATCCGGCCTGAGTTCTGTTTTTTCCCAATCCAAGATCCCTCATCTATAACGAACTTACAATCTGGGCGACTATCACAGTAATATCGTCAAGCTTTCCACCTGCCCACAAAAGGAAGCAGCTAGTTAATACTTTCTGCTATGTTTCAAAGACCGGCTACGGGCTAGAAGAGAGGGAAAATGTCTAAGAAAAGGTGTCTGCCATGCCTGTGAGTTGCATGCCAATGATCTTTTTCCACCACGGGGGCTCAATACCCTGCCAAGAGAATTAATTCATCGAAAAGAGGAAATGTTTCAACATTACAGATAGGAGTCAACTATGGATATAGATGCGAATGAATTTCAGTAGTTTAATTAATGCTCACCTTGGACCTGGCTTCCAATGCATAGGGTGAATCGTAGCTCGAATCCAGTGAATGAACTCTTGCCAAGTTAGCCAGAACCTTTGCTACCATTGCAGTGGTCAAAGTTACGAAAGGCAATTAATAAAAAGAGAGGCAAGAAAGTAACGTCTATATTACATAAGATGACTTACCAGCATCACTAACATTTCTATGTTGGCCAATTGTCGAAACAATCTCATGATCAAAAACGTTGTCGAAAAGACCATCTGAACCCATCACAATGATATCCCCCTCGATCGCTTCCAGACTGCTAACCTTTAAGAAGGGATCAAATGTAGACAATGAGAAAGTTTGTTGACATCATCTAAACATAAAAACTTGAAAGATTGTTGCTGCAGTAATATGAATGAACATACCATAGCATCAAGATATGTCTGGCCGACAGTTTCTGAACTCAGTTGGTACGGACAATCAAAATAGTGTTCTTGTGGAGTAGTGGAGAATATTATCTGTCCTGTAATTAAAATAAATCGCGCGATCCACCCTTAATTGTGCAGAACAAATGAATGACAAAAGGGCAACCGATGCGAAAAAGAATCACAGGGGGAACAACAACCTCAGAATCAAGATTACTACCTTCACGGATAAGCTTTAGTCCACAATCCCCGACATTTGCAATCTTCAGCGTTCCATTTCTCTCCAGCATAGCCACAATCCTAAATGAGTAAAGAATGGTTATGACACGTAATGTACGTGTGGGTGCCTTTGGAAAAATAAAGCTGCAGCAACGCAGACGAAAACAAAGACTTATACACGGTAGCTGAGCCGATTGAGGAGGTAGCAGCATGCGCTTTTCTGATGAGAACTTGCGGATCATAGTTTACCTGCTCTAGTTAAAAACAAATGCCTCAAGAAGTGTTAGAACCAAAAGGCAACAAAGCATTCAGCCACTAAATCTATCTAGTAACTTTCCAACACACTACTGCAATGCTAATGCTAATGCTACCTCCTCGTCTGGCACAAAAGCAGAAGCATTTGCAATCAGTTCCCGAGAAAAAAGCGCAGGATCCACATCCTCTTCAGCCCAACTGAAAAGCAATAACAATTGGTTTGCAAGTTACTGAAACTATCAAAGCATATCAGCTTCCAGCAATAGCAGGACGAGAATGGTGCAACTAGTTAGTTTTACTTAGGTTACCCTGAGACACCATCAGCAATGGCTAGGACTCCACCACTATAGCTACTTGTGAAAAATGCATCTTCCCCACCTTTTTCAACCTATGAAAAGAGCTCGTATGAGGGCACAAGAAGAGAACGGACTGGAACAAAATTTACTACCACTGTCTACCTTGTTGGGATGTGGAATGAGGTGACTTCCAACACAGAGCGACACCTCTGACCTGCAAATCCCATTGATACGTTTCATCAGGACGTAACCTGAATTCAAACCCCAGAGTGACCTACTCATTTCCGCCCTTAGGAATTCTGATTATTATCCCAAGATAAAAGAAAAACTAAAGCAGACAATTTGGTTATAGTGGACATCGAATTCGAATCACTTGTTATGGAAGTGTTCACTCGTTTTCACGGTAACCGATTGTATGCAACTCCGGGGGTAATTCGTTTTTTCCCCTCAACCAAGTGAGAGTGGGAAGCAAGATAGATAGGAAGACGAGAAAGGAAATTCAGGTTGGAGCAATGGAAAAGCGGATAACGAGAGAAGCAGCTGACCGGAGAGAGTTGAGTTCCGATGAAGCCCGAAGCGGGAGCAGCAGCAGATTGTTCTTCTTTGGAACTGAATTTACAGTTCCAGTCCATAGAAGTGGAAGCAAGGAGTGTAACAGTGGATTGGAGTGAGGAACTGATGCCTTGAAAATGGGAGTCGCCATTTTCCCGCTTCAACTCTCTCTCAGCTCGCCCAAGAGCTCCGGCTTGGTTTGCTCTCTCTCTCTCTCCTACTGGTTTTACAGGATGCTCTGATTGATTTGTGGCCGAGATTGAGATATGAAACAGACCTACCATACAGTTATTTAAAACCAAGCGAGAGCAATTGAACACAGATGCACCAGTGGTCTAGTGGTAGAATAGTACCCTGCCACGGTACAGACCCGGGTTCGATTCCCGGCTGGTGCACTAGTGATCAAGTTATGATGAATCTTGCACTCTCCATGAGAGAGGTCCTCTCACTATTGTCTGATATTTGGACGAAATGTGAGTGCTTCTGAGCTTGTTTCTTTTTCCTTTTTTCACCTCTGTCTTTCTTTGTTTTGATTGGTTGGCAAAAAATCTCTAAATAATACAATACTTATAAAATTATTTTCCAAAGTTTTTTCACCTCTGTCTTTCTTTGTTTTGATTGGTTGGGAAAAATCCCAGAATACTCTAATTATTAAAAAAAAAAAATCCCTATATACAATACTTATAAAATTATTTCCCAAAGTACAACAGTTTCAACATCACTGTCGAAGACGAAGACAGTGATGTTGAAACTGCGCAACATTGCGTTTGACTAAACAGTGATGCTATCATCGTTTTGGACAAAAACGGTGAAGCAATCCCCGCGTTAGTAAAAGGCGGTGATTGTGTGACCGTTGATTAGAGAAACGATGAAGCCATAATGACCGTTGATGGAGAAAACGGTGAAGTGGACGCGGATCGCTGACGTGGACGCGCGCCGACACTTCACCGCCAAAGAGAAAAGCGGTGATAGCCCCGCCCGCCACGTCACCTATCCTTGTCGTCCGCGCCCTTCACCGCTGCCGTCCAATGCGGTGAGGCGCGGATTGTGGTTTTTCTCCACGATCCGACGCCTCACAAGTCGCCACGTCAGCGATCTGAGCCATCACCGCTTTCCTCCAACGCGACGAGTTCACTGCTTTCAAGGAACGCGGGGATTGGTTCCTGGAAATTTCCAGTGGCCCTTTCCCCCTATAAATACCACTCCCCCCTCTCATTCCAAACCACACCACCATTTTATACTTCTTTCTCCCTCCATTACTTCACTCTAGTTTCGTTCTAAGTATGCTCTGTGGTTGCGGCTAAGTCCGATCTTCCGCATCAGAAAGAATTACTAGAGTTTTTGTTTTGTCAATACTCTCTCTAGCTTTTCGGCAAAAAATGGACGAAGAGGCTCTGAGAGTACGTAAATTTATTTTATTCTTTTGTGATTTTTTTTAAATGGGTGCTAAAATATAAATTGATTTGATTTCATATTTTTTTATAGATGGGTGATGAGATATACGCCCTCGATTGTATATCGATCCTGGCCCAAGGGATTGAAGGTATTTAACCGGGCAAGATCAACATCGCTCCCGTGCAATTTGGAACAATAATCTGGTAGACACTAAAATTATTTCATTAGTTTTAAAGTTTTTATTTTGCTTTCTATTGACTGACAACATTGTGTTTTTTGTTTTGTAGGAATCACTTATTCCCATCAGTCATCGAGGGACATGTCGATTGCCCCGTTGGCATGCTCGACTGGCGCCCTATCTAGAGAGGACGGGATTGCACATGCTGAGGCACTTCATGAGGCTTGATATTGACAACGATCTGCTGACGGCAATGGCAGAGCGATGGCGCCCCGAGCTGCATACCTTCCACTTTCCCGAGGGTGAAAAGACGATCATCCTCAAAGATGTTGCCATCCTCACCGGGCTCCCGATCACCGAAGATGCCATCATCGACAACTCGAGAAAACCGGAAGATGGTTGGAGGCCGTTGATTCAAGAGCGTTTGGGTTCAACATGCCGACCACCACGCCCGTCGAAGGGGTTGGGCATCTCAAATCTTCCTCACTTTCATCGCCACTGGAGGCGAATGGATAGCTCGACTCAAGATGGTCATCGTTACCAGCATAACCAACATCGTCTTCTTGGTAATGCGAAGTACGACCAGATCGAAGGGTGTTCTCAATGTCAGCCCACTCTGGACCCAAGCAGGCCATTGATCACCGTCGGGCTGAACGATATCGTAGGCAGTCTCAGCATGTTGCGGGTATTCTTCCCACCCAACACCTCTTTCAGAACTACCTCCTCCGTAGTTGCTTGAAGTACCACCCCAGCCATACCCTCCTGCAGAAGTACCTCCTCCGTAGTTACTTGAACTACCACCCCAGCCATACCCTCCTTCAAAACCATCATCACAAGAATACTGGTGAGAATGAGTTTCACCGACCGGCTCGGTCTCGACATACACCTCTGCAAGCCGCACCCCATTGTCAGATAGGAACTGTATCATCATGTTCACCGCGTCATCATCATTTATGACAACTTTTTTGTACATGATTCCGTCAGCAATCATGTTTGGATACCGGTAAGTAATTTGACCAACTCTCCTTTGCCCGCCCGTACAAGTCCTTTCTGCACAAATGTCATGGAGTTCTTGCCACGAGAATCTCAACTCAATTTTTAGCAGAGTGGATTCGCCATTTTCATAGTCGATCCCAATGTTCGAGTTTGTCACCCGACCATTCCACCAAATAATAAGCCGAAACTTCTTAAATTTACCCATGTCTGCAATTTATAATAATTAAGTATAGTATATAATTAGTATATTATGGATACAAAAACAATATCATCCAACCCATAAACAAACGCAACTAATTCATCTATCATGAGAAAACTAAACAAATTCATCTAAATTCATAACTAACTAACTAACATCTATCATATCATAATTAATCTAAATATCTCATAACATATTTGCCAACAACCGCAATTCACTAAATACAGACATATATTACTAATACATCAACACATCAACATGTAAACAATACATAATTATAACATACCGAATCCCGATGAGTTTCTTGAGCAGTAAACCAACTCCAAACCAGCTGAGAAAACGACCAAATAAACACTAATTTTTGTACTAATTTACTGTAAGGCAGCAGGAGGGAAGTGGGGGTCGGTATTTATAAGGAAAATGCCAGCTAATCACCGCAGTAGACAATTGCGGTGAACACATCACCGCTTTTGTCCAAAACGGTGATAGCTAGGTCGCTGTGACCTAATTTTCCACCTACCAGGGCTCTAATACGTGGTCAAATATCACCGTTTTGGTCGACGGCGATTATGTAATCACCGTTTTGCACAACAGCGGTGAGGCAATCACCGTTTTTTACGGCGGCGGTGATACCTTCCCCGTTGTTGTCGAAAGCGGTGATGTGTTCCCCGTTGTTTTCGAAAGCGGTGATACCTTCCCCGTTTTAGACTAAAGCGGTGATTATAATCACTATCGAAGACGAAGACAGTGATGTTGAAACTGCTGTACTTTGGGAAATAAGTTTATAAGTACTGTTTTTAGGAAAAAAAATTTAATAACTTGAGTATTCAGGGATTTTTTCCAACCTTTCCTCCTGGTGAGGCAGACCTAAGCAGTTTTTAACGAAAATCGTGCTCCTACTTGGTGGTTTTGGTGAAAGGGTGCTATTTTTGTAAAAAAAAAAATTAAACCGTGTTATTTCAAAAAAAAATCTCATATTAGGGTGGTAAATAGATTTTTATTATACATTATACGTGAAATTTAAACATGTTTTTTGAGTTTTTTTTACATAAATGCAGGTTGTAAAACTGTTCCAGGTGATTTACTTAGGTTTACTGTCAACTTTTATTTAACAATAAAAAAAGTTGTATCTAATTGTTGTGTTTCTTGTTAGTATATATATGACAAAATTTCTGACATAGTACATGATGTACTTGTTCAAAAAAGTACATACTAGCTAGACGATGAAAAATGCAATTAACATTAAAGTACTACAAATTATTTCATTGACCAACGAGGGAACAACTCATCAACCTTGAACAATTCTATATTTGTTCTTATTTGAGTTAGAAAAAACAAATTCCAAAATAAAACAAGAAATACCGATAACAAAACCCCCAAAAGAACAGTAAATATTCCGAATTGAAGAAGGAAACAAGAGAACCAAGGTAACCATAAAAAAAAGTCCATATAGAGTCAATAACTCTATGGTGCATAATACTTGCATAACCATATATGAGCTCTTAATTTTAAATGAGATCATATCTAAAGGTGAGAATAAAATGACTTTTTATTTTCGCTAAATTTCTAATTAATTGGATTTTATCTTTGTCGTTCTAACTTGAATTTTAAATTTTTTTACAGATGGAACGAATTTGTTGGCATCTACAAAATTATATAAATTTTTAATATATTTCGAGAAAACAATTTCGTACCACTCATACCATGCGTTACCACCCTGTTACAACCTTGGTACCACCTTTGTTTATAACTCAAAATTTAAAATCTTTACTCAGGATGAACAAGTTTATTGTGAACAAAGTAGTAAAGTCTTAACCTGTCATGAACAACCTCTCCCTTACAACTCATCTCTGCTGATTGATAAAGAGCAACCCAATTTGCTCACAAAGCTTCAAATTATTAGATCGCATATTGAACATTTCACAATCGTTAGATGAAAGTGATTATAATTTTAATAATTTATCATCCCTTCCATCCATGATTGTACATTTTTATTGTGAGCACAATAGCAAAATTACAAAAAAGGGGTAACAACACAACAACTTGTGTTTCCCTCCCGCGCCATCTCTCTCACCTCCTGCCTTTATAAACCGGCCGTCTCCTTTCCACTAGAATATCCCCTCCATCGATCTCTCACCTCCCACCGCAGTTCCCTTCCTCGGAGAAAGGCCATCATTATTTTGTTTTTCAATGAATCAGCGTGGGGGAAGCTATGAAGCTCAGGAGGGATAGCGCCAAGACATGCAACACGACTCGTTTTCGTGTTGTGTGTGGCGCTATCCATCCTGAGTTTTACGGATTCTCCTTGCTACTATTGGCGCTCTCTCTCTCTCTTTCTCTCTCGTTCATATATATATGTTTACAGTGTCGTGTTTTCCGGTAAACTTTGTGCGTGTTTGCGGCGGAGATAACCAAGGAGATGGTGATTTTGTTTTTCTTTCTCCTTGATTACGTCTCCAGCTGCAGCTTTCACGTTGACGTTAAATCCAGTACTCGCTTAAAATTTTCTTCTTCAGCCGTTTCCACTTGTGGTGTCTATCATGATCATCAATTTTCTTCGATCGTCGTTTTTCATTTCTCTACCCTGTCTTAATTAGTTTCTTCAGAAAACGAATTATTGGTTATGGTGAATTAGCAGATTTGTAGTATTCATGATCGGTTTTACTTAACTCGTGTCAGATAATACTAATTAATTAAATTGTTTTTGGGTAATACGCATATAACAACATAAGAGATCTAGCTAGTATTTCAGCTGGTCCGGATCGCTAACGTGAAGTAAATGCGGGTCAAATTAAAGGACAAATAGATAGCTATGAATCTTTATATTTACTTGCTAATTAGAAATCAACAGCTAAAATTACATTCTGGAAGATTACAACAAAAAATGACATTCTTGATTACCAGTAGTTATGGGCTTGTGGGCAGAATCTGAGATTGAGTTGGATCTTTTCATATATCCCTTCCGCCAAGCGAGTTTTTCGAGTCCCTCTGCTGCTCTTTCTGGCTCTAGTACTCACTCTTGTTGATTATGCAACAACACATATATGTGGAGAGTTGGAGATTTGGATTGTTGATATATCATTGTACTTGCTGGTTTTCGGGCTTTTTGGAACTTGGTCCACAGATTTGTTACGTTGTTGCAGAGGGTAGAGTAAAATTGTGCAGTACCACTACTGTCAACTGTGACAGTCAATATTATAGCTAGGTGGTAGTGTGCACACATATAACCTGCAGAAGAAAGAAGGCGGGGCGTGGGTTTATGGAACTTTAGCTAGGTGGTATACATATAGCCAATAATATAATGATATTAGTTAATAGAAAGCAAAAGTCTGCATTTTTAGCAGCAGCCAGTGGCGGATCCAGAACCGAGTAGAGTATTGGGCCACATTAGAAAAAAAGGTGGAGAGGACTTGATCATAACGCGATAAACACTGAAATGAACACTAAAAATCGAAAATTTTACAAGTGATATATTAGCTCTGAATCGAGGTAGGGCTGGTCCGTGGCTCGGGACGGCCGCTAGATTCGCCACTGGCAGCAGCAACGGCGTATGTATTTATGTGAAACTAAAAAGCTGCCCCGTCCCGCCCCAGCCCAGACTTCACTACGTCTGCACTGCACCAGGAAGGAAGGACTCATCACTACTTACTGTGTAACCAACACCACATATACACTACTCCTCTCATCGTCATTAATACGCGCAAGCTAAGGAAGCGTGCTTCAACTTTCTTCCCACCTCTCTTTTTCTTTCTGTAATATAATAATAATAACGATCCATTACTATTCAATATTCATCGCCCTCATTGGTATAAGACTATAGAAAGTGTTTCTCAACGACCTGTAATAACTACTGGGAAAGGGATAGGATAAAAAAAAAATTACAGAGAAGAACCCTAGCCAGCTAGCTAGCCAGAATCTCTTGTACGGCTGCCCAGGATTCCTTATTAGTGAAAATTGTCAGTAATTCATTGAGTATTTTAATTGCGGGCTATGAGGTCAGTTAGTCAGTACTGCGGATGTTGACTCCTTTTCCAGTTTTATTGTGGAAACCAGGTATATATGTGTTATACATTCTCGATTTTTTTATAAGTATATGATAGAGGAGTTTGTTGTAAAAAAAAAAAAAACAGATAAAGCAGTTGAGAGATTTTGTAACACATTACATCAATCCTATATCGACAAAACATCGGAGAGATACATAGTTTATAAGTAAGAAACCGATCTTAACTGAAACAAGACGCGTTTTTGGGGTAAAATAGATGAGTTATTTTGAGAACTCTGAAGTTAAACGTACTCAATGTGGAGTACGACAAGGATGGGTGACGTTATGGGAAGTCACCTTGAATTGCATGCCAAGTTGAGAACCAAATCGGACAATATCTTGCTCGGAAAAAGGTTTGGGATGTACCAGATTTGGAGAAGAATAATAAGCAGATCATATGAGAATTTCAAAAAAACTACGAATTTAGAAGAGTAACAACGAACTAAAGAGAGAGAATTGTGATTTTTTTTACAGAAACTTGCTTTAGAGAATTGGGATGAAAGCAGGATAATATGAAAGATATTGTATTCATATTTAAAAGATTTTTTTATAGAAACTTGTTCTTTTTTATAAAAGATATTCTATTCATATTAATAAATGCTCACAAATTCAGAGTTCATTCATGATTAGAACTGAGTATAACCTAAGAGAAGATTACAACAATAGATGAAAAAAATCCTCATATTATATCAGGAGGAGGTGAGGTTACATAGCCAAATAGCAACGTAATCAATAGTCATGTCTCCTGTTGATTCAGAACACCTTTAGTCACACTCCAACTTATGCATTTCTTGACCACTTAGTGCATTACTCAATCCAATGAGCAGCTGAATCTTCTTCTAATAAACTAGCCAAGTAAAAGTACATATCTTGTTAGGAATAATAGGCATCCTTATTGTCGTATAGGGAATAGTAGTCCAAGCCCTATAAATTTCTCACTAGCAAATTGTTTGTAGAAGCTACATACCTCGAATTTATCCCTAGACAGCAATGCAAGTAATTTGTCTTGCATTCCAAAGAACGAAGTGCTACAAATGCTATTCAAGATATTCTTGAAGGATTGAAATGATGCTTAGACAACCCCTCAAAAGCTAACTGAGAATTCGATTCCCCAAGAAATCCTCTCATCTTCAATGTGTAAGATATCATTGAGTTTGGCATACTTGTTAGTTGCGACTGAGAATAAGTTGGGAAGCTACTTGGAGGAGTATGGTTGGGTAGCCATTTATCAGGGCAAAATGAAATCAATTAGCCATCTCCAGAGCAAATGACCGCATATTTCCATAAATTCACACCATTACTTACAATAAGCTTCCAAATTGACTTCCTAAAGGGCATGTGTGGAGAAATGAGATTCCAGCCATTAACTGGGTATTTGAATTTGAAACACATGAGACTCCATAACTCATTTGGATCATTATAAAACCGCTGCACCCGTTTAGCCAAGAGAATTGTATTTAGTGTTTTTGGGTCCTTCAATCGTATCTCACCATGATCTTTTGCAGCCTTTGTTAGCTCATAACGTACCAAATGTGGCATGTCATCTTCCTCTGCTTCAGACCACATAAATCTTTTAATAATCTTCTCCATTTTTCTATAATATGTGCAGAGGAAAGTAATAGTGAAAGATAGTAGGCGCACATACTTGCGAGTATGCTCTTGATTAGGACTATTTTACCTCCCATTGAAAGGAATCTTCCCTTCCAAGAGTAGAGACGTTTGATTAGGTGATGTGTGTTGTGCATCGAGCTTCACATTTATAAACTCGATCGTCGACAATACTAGCTACCCCAATCTAAGACGAGTGCACCCTAGATCGGTGAAGTAGTATAGTGGTGACAGAGGTCGTATTCCAAGGGCCACGATATCCTATGCTACTTAACCTCGATTATTATCTAGTCAACCTGTTACTTACCAGGTGGCCAGTTGACGTTACTGAACTAGAGATTGATAAAGGAGAAGAGGTACTTCAGGGTACATCCCTCGCCCTAAACCTACGTTCATCATGCAAATGGCTAACTATATTGAGTTTGCAGGTGAGGTGTGGAACTCACTAAATTGAGGGTTTCAATGATTACTCCGCCATCCTAGTATGCTCCCAGATAGGGCTGGACGTTCGGGGTCGGTTTTATGGGTAACCCAGAATCCGAACTGAAATCGTTGGGTCTCGAGTACCCGAGAACTGAAATATCATAGTGAAAAACAAGCCTTGGCTCGTCATGTGGATGTATTTGGGTTTTGGGTAAACCAAAACGAAAATAAAAAATTAAAGGACCCAAAGTGGAACCGCTGAAGCCCATGACACTGACCAAAAATCATATGGCCCATAGCCCGTACCCCAGCCCAACCTTCAGAGTTCAGGCCCCAAGCCCAACCTATCCTTCGGCCCCCTCAGAACCATAACCATAAGTCCCCATTCCCCACTCCAGCGAGCAATAACCACAGCACCCAACAGCCCTTTGTTTTCGTGGAGGGTTCCATCGAGCGAACAAAGAAAACCTTCCTTCCTTTCCTTTCCTTGCACCGTCAAATCGCCGATCCACCATCCCACCGACCACCATCGTCTTTGTCGACCATCGTCCTTCATCAATCATGGAACAAGCTGGTGGGAGGAAGAGAGACAAATCAACAAAAGATGATCATTTACCTGTCGCAACGAAGGCTAAAAAGAGATTGAAGAAGAGAGGTGAATCTATTGGAAGTGTACATCCATATGCAAGTGTTGTCGCCAACTGGGTCCTCCTCCTCTTACTGTTGCCGCCCCTGGTCCTCCTCCAATTGTCTCCGCCGCTCGTGGTTCTCCTCAAACTGTCGCTGCTGCTGGTCCTCCTCCGACTGTTGCAGCTGCTGCTCCTCCGACTTTGACTCTAGTCCCTGCCGCTACTCCTCTTCCTACTGGCCAAGTGGTTCAGGAACCACTGGTGCTGGGGAACACAAGGTCAGATGCCTATGATGAGTATGATTTGTTCATTGAGAGTTTTCCGGGGAAAGATCCAACGAGGAAAGCGAGATGTTTATTTTGTAAAAAGAAGCTTTCTCCTGATACAAGAAGAAACAATATTTCTACTCTCCATAAACATACCAAATTGTGTAGGAAAAAGAGGAATGAATCAGGTTCTCAAATGATGTTAAACTTGCAACCAACAAGTGATGAAAGAGTATTACCACTAGCCAATTGGAGGTTTGAGCAGGGGAAAGTCAGATTTGCATTAGCTCGTATGATTATTATGGATGAGCTGCCTGTTAGATATGTTGAGAGAGTAGGGTTTAAGGGATTTTTTCTGGCTGCTTATCTGCAGTTCATGATTCATGGGAGGAAGGCCATTAGGGAAGATTGTTTCACCCTGTTTGTTGAGGAGAGGATAAAGTTGATAGATTATTTCAAGAATCATTGTGCTGATCGGGTTTCTATAACTATAGATTGTTGAACATCCTTGTATTTGTGCTTAACTATTCATTGGGAGTGACCAGAAGCTTCACAAGAAAGTCACTAGCGTTCATCTCATTTCCAACCACAAGGGAGTCTATATTGGTAGTGCAATTACTGATTCATTGATGGAGTGGGGTTTGAAGGATGTATTCTCCATCACAGTGGATAATGCCAGTGCAAATGACACGACAATTGGTTTTTTGAAAGAGAAACTGATTGATTGGGGTAGTTGTGTTAAGGGAGGTGCTTATATGCAGTGTGTTGCGCATATAGTAAATCTGATAGTCGGTGATGAGTTGGAGGAAATTGGGGTGTCAGTTGTTCGAATGAGGGAGGCAGTAAGGTGGGTTCGTGCTTCACCATTTAGGATGATGAGATTCAAGAATTGTGTGAATTTCCATGGTATCAAGTTGAAGAAAATGGTGATTTTGGACATTCCAACTAGATGGAATTCCACATATCTTATGTTGGAGACAACAAAGAAGTTTGAGAAGGCATTTAAGATACTTGCATGAGAGAATTCTGAGTTTGTGGCTGATCTTACCAAGGCCAAGAAGTACAAGGGCCAAGTGATTGGTCCTCCCACTACGGCTGATTGGGAAAGTGCGAGGAATCTGTCCAAGCAATTAAGTTACTTCTTCTATATGGATTTAAAGAGGGTGAGTTTCCAGTTCGGTATTTGGGGCTGCCATTGATGACTGGTAAGCTATCATCGAATGAGGTGGACATTTTAGTGGAAAAGATCACAAAACGGGTTAAATCTTGGAGGGCAAGGAAGCTGACCTATGTTGGGAGGTTGCAGTTAGTAAATTCAGTCATGTTAGGAGTTGTCCAGTATTGGATGCAACTCTTTGTACTCCCTAAAAAAGCACTGAAGAGGATTCAACAGGTCTGTTCTCAATTCCTTTGGCATGGGACTGATCCTGGGAGAGCTAAAGTGGCATGAGAGTCTGTGGCTTTACTAAAGAAAGAGGGTGGGCTTGGAGTCAAAGATCTACTGGCTTGGAACCAGGCCTGTGCCATTCGTATGCTCTGGTTATTTCTAATGAAAGCTGGCGCTTTATGGGGTGCATGGATGCAGCGGCGGATCCAGAACACAGTAGAGCGCTGGGCCGAATTTTAATATAATATTATATACCATAAACAAATATAGTCAACATTTTTAAAATTTAGTATTTCAAAATAAAAAAAATAGTTGCAAAATTACCAACGATAACAGACAAATGACTAATATTTTGATGCGTTACAAAAGATTTAACTAATATTTTGTATTTCGAAAGGTTTGGCTAATAATTTGGAAAGTCTAAAAGGTTTGACTAATAAATTGTATTTAATCAAAAATATATGATAATAATAGTTTTCATTCATTACAATGTCAATCGTAATAGAAGGTTTTTTAATTTGGCAAATCCATCAATAATAATAGAATCTCCATCCATATCAATAGCATACTCTCTCTCAAAGAAAATAGTTAAGCAATCAACAAGAAATTCATCGAGCATTTTATTGCGCAAATTAGTTTTCACATATTTCATTACTTAAAATGTTCTCTCCATGGTAGCCGCTGAAACGGGCAAGGTCAACACTAGACGAATCAACCCACAAATCAATTTGTTTAGAGGGTTTTCTTATTTCAATGAAACTTTATACACTCTTTTACATTTGAGATTTTTAGGTTTTTTTTTTCAAATGAAAATCATTCGGGCTAGAATTTCTAGACTAAATTGAGAGCAATGATTTGCATATGTTCATCTAGACAATTTTTCTAACTACACAAAATTTATTATCAAATAACACTCGACCGACCATTAAATAATACTGAGCCGTCGAAAATTTATAAGCTCTATACTAGCTCTGGATCCGACAGAGGGCTGGGTTGTGGTCCGGGTTGGTCCAGCCCTAGATCTGCCGATGCATGGATGTATGAATATAAGCGTGGCCAGGGTATCTTTGGTCTTTGAGGGTGCAATACAGTAGTTCATGGACATGGAGAAGGCTGCTAAAGCTACGAGATATCATTTCGCCATGGATCACTCAACAAGGAGATGTCATTTTTTGGGATTCTCAGGAGATGTTGGTTTACTCTGTTGGACAGGTATGGGACACCCTAAGGAAGAAGGCACATGTTGTCTCCTGGCACAAACTTATTTGGGGTAGCTGCTGTCCCGCACGATACAGCCTGCGCTTGGTTGATCATGAGGAATGCCATTGTTACTAGAGACAAATTATTGAAATGGGGTAAGATTCGAGATGCATCTTGTCCTCTGTGTGGGGTGGGAGTTGAGAGTCGAGATCATTTATTTCTCAGCCGCACTTTCTCCCTCAGGCTAGTTGCACAGCTGCGTTTCAGTTTTTTACGTTTCCAAAATTGGGATGCAATGGTGCAGGCTCTTAATGCAGAATTTACAGGAATGTGCAAGTTGGGAAATGGCATGCTCTGTTGTGGTGTCTTATAGTGGCTTTCATTTGGAAAAAACGGTGCAAAGTGGTCCCTGGAACCCCCATACGAGACCCTGAGGAAGTTGCTGAGCAAGTTCAGGCGGATTTACAGTTCTTATCTTGCGGGAACAGAGGTTTACGAGATGCACTTACAAAGCTTCATTACTTATAGGCTTTTTGGTTTGCTGGTTCTGTAAGTAGTATTATATATAGGAGGAGGGTGGAGAGATAGACTCATATGGGATCCTTTGTGATTCCGCTTCGTTGTATCGGTTTTTTCTTTGGAATAAAACAACTGATTCAACGAAAAAAAATTACTAGAAGAATCCAAATTTAATTCTATAAAATATAGTCAATACAAATTATTAGGTGTAAAAGTCAGAATTTTTATTTATGTGAATAACTTACACTCTTACACGAATAAGCACCAAACGGCAATGAACCCAAAAATGCGTGCATTATGTGTCTTTAGGTATTTGTCTCCTCTAAAGTAGAGGTGGACAATGTGTTGGTCCATACCAGACCAAACCAATACTTGGACCGGACCACACCGAATCAAGTATAATATGGTACGGTCCTTGGTCACGTACCGAATTGACATTCGAACTTGACCAAAGCAGACTAAGTGTACTATTGAATTGTGGTTCTTCTGAGTTTGGTCCGGTCCGGACTGAACGGATGTCCACCCCAAGTCGAGAGGAGACCTTACGATGAAAAGAAGCGGAAAACAAGGTAAAAATTCCACCAGACAAATGTGGTCGTTAAAATAATAGAAAGGCCTCCATGACTACGGTCCAACTGCTTTTTCTTTTCCTCGGTCGCCACCGGCTGCTGTTGTCTTTCCCTTCCTTCCACAGTCCACCGCTTTCCCGTTTCATCATCTCGTGTTTATGACTCCGTCGGAGTATTTTCGTCGGCAACAGCAGAAATGCACGGGAACTGTAGAAGAAGAAGAAACCATTGTATTTCACGATCACGAGAAGAAAAGTATAGTCGATGCTCGCTTCAGGTAAAGTGAGATTCAGAAATTCTGCTGCACTCTCATATGATTCTCTTTCCTATTAACTTTCGCGGATCTCTTTGATTGTTCCCTGGTTCTTCTATAGACTGTGACCTAATTCCTGGCTATGGTTTTTCCTGGCTCCCTTTCTCCCGATTGCCCATTTTGTGAGATTGATTATCGAGAGATATCGAGTTCTCATTTCTAGAAAGGTTATTGCGCGCCGTTGTTGCCAAAATTTCCAGGGTAAATCAAAGTTCTTTCTAATTACATTGTTAACGACGGGCAATTATTTGTCAACCCGACTGTCCCGTACTTCCAATTGTCCTATTTGCCCGTCGTTAACAATGCAATTAAGCACTACCCTCCCAACTAAACACACAGTCATGTTCCTAGAAATTTCAGCAACTACGGCGCGCAATAACCTTTCTAGAAATGAGAACTTGATATCTCTTGATAATCAATCTCACAAAATGGGCAATCAGGCGAAAGGGAGCCAAGAAAAACCATAGCCAGGAATTAGGTCACAGTCGATAGAAGAAACAGGGAATAATCAAAGAGATCCGCGAAAGTTAATAGGAAAGAGAATCATTTGGCAGTGCAGCAGAATTTTCGAAAGTTAATAGGGATCAACCCGGCCGCAATCCGAATTGACTAACAGTCAACAACCCGTAACCCGCCCGATCCGCAACCCGATTGACCCGCAACCCGATTAACCCGAACCCAATTGACCCACAACCCGACTGACCCGCATCCCGATTGACCTGAACCCGACTAACCCGTAACCCGACCGACTCAACCCGAACTTCACCAAGTCCACTTGAATAATTATTATCATATACAATACATAGTTTTTCAAAATAAAGTTTTTCATTCTAAACTTAGATAAAATTAGTTTTCCATTTCGTATAAGGAATTTAAAAAATATGAAACTCACTTGATATTATGTATTTTAAGAAAATTACAAAAATTGAAACATGAAAGTCACTTGAACACTAAGTTCTTTAACAAAATTAAAAAAGTAAATATAAAATTAACATAATGTCAATATTAATAATGAAGAATTAATAATTAAGATCATGGAAAATATTAATATAATATATAAATTAAAATTTTGGTTAATTTAATACTTCAATAAAATTATCAATTAAATATAAATAAAGTAAAGTAATGTATTTGGTAATTTGATGTTTTTAAAAGAAGATGGAAATTTTTGTGTATTCAACTTTTTGGGAAAAGAAAGAAGAGGGAAATTTGGTTCTTTGAATTTTTTAGAGAAAAAAAAACAAGTAAAAATTTTGGTGTTTTGATTTGTGGGAGGATAAAAAAGTGGGAAAGTTGGTTCTTTTGATTGTGAAATAGAAATAAGGAGGGAAATTTTGAGTTTTCAATTTTTTGTGGAATGAATGAAGGAAGGAAGAAAGGAAGAAAGGAAGAGGGAAATTTGTTTTTTTTTTCAATTTTGTATGGAAGAGAAAGATGAGGGAAATTGAGTGTTTCTAATTTTTGGAAGGAGAAAGAAGGAGAGAGGAAAATTTTAGTATTTTTTTTTTGTGAAAAGAAATAATGAAACAAATTAGGTGTTTTCAACTTTTTGGTTTTTCTAAATTTTAGCCATTGAAATATGTTTTGAAGGCTAATACATATGTATGTAATTGTTTATGGGCTAATAAATAAATTAACCATTAGTTATAACAATTATACTGAACTTGATAAGTAATCTTTGACGGTTCGTTGTTTAGGGTCTAAAGTACATGGTTAGGGTATAAGGTACAGATGGTTTAGGGTGTATATGGTTAGGGTATAAGATACTGATGGTTTTGATGGTTCTAAGTTTTTTATTAACATATGTTCACTTGAAGTCTTTAACGACAAGAGTTCCCTTTTTAATTTATGTTTGTGGTATGTGGTTCGGGTACAATTTATATGGTGTGCAGAGTATAGGATATATGTTTAAAGTATAACAATTAGCAAATATCACTTTTTATGTTTTGAAAATCAAAGTATGAATTTCAGTTTTAAATTAACTATACTAGCAAAATCACAACTCATAAAGACATATGGTTAGGGTATAGGGTATGTGGTTAGTGTATAATGTATTGATGGTTTAGGGTATACAATCAAGTAATCAACAACATATACTAACTTAATATTGTCGATTGAGGGTAAGGCTAAGTGTATAGGATATATGTTATTGAGTAAGTTATGATTGAAGTCACAATAATTTTACTAAATTTGATAGTTTGATCAATAAAAAAAAAGGCAAAATACAGCTGTATATCCACAACTATTAGGTTTGTGACAAATATATCCATAACTATCGAAATACACAAAATATCCATTTCCGTCCACTCTGTTAACTCCGTCAGTTAACTTGATGACTGGACAGACGGTGGATTCTTAGTTGGCATGCTTCTGGCCCCACTAAATGATGTGGATTAAAAGAGAAAAAAAATTAGGCAAAATACAGTTGTATATCGACAACTATCAGGTTTGTGACAAATATATCCACGACCATCGAAATACACAAAATATCCAAAAAATGGAAGGTTGTGTAACAAATCTATCCACTTCCGTATGAAACTATAACGGCATGTCAGACGACGTTAAATTGACTAACAAAATGCCGAATCGATGCCATCTCACCTGCCATAAGCCAAAAAACAACCAAACTTTACACCGTTATCTGTTAGACCTCGATGCTGTAGTCTTCTCTCTTGGCGATTTGGTTAGATTCAAACTTGGTATCACCATGGCACCGACTGCATGGAAGTCGTCGGAGTAAAAGGGAAGCAATGGTTGGGGATTGTGGTTGGAATCAAAATCTGGGCTTGGGATAGGCTTATTTGGGGGTGGAGGCGTCGATCGGAGGAAATCAGTGGTTATCGGGCGTGTTTCTAGGTTGAATTTTTAGTCTCGCTGTCTGTGGTTTTCAGGGTTTTTAATTTTTTTTTCTCTTTTAATCCACGTCATTCAGTGGGGTCAGAAACACGTCAACTAAGCATCACCGTTTGTCCAGTCATCAAGTTAACTGACGGAGTTAACGGAGTGGAAGAAAATGGATATTTTGTGTATTTCGATAGTTGTGGATATATTTGTCACAAACCTGATAGTGGTGGATATATTTGTCACAAACCTAATAGTTGTGGATATACAGCTGTATTTTGCCTTTATTCAACTAGCCTATTTGACATCTACGTGTAAAGTTTGGTTGCTTTTTGGCTTATGTGTCAGGTGAGCTGGCATCGATTCAGCATTCCGTTAGTCAATTTAACGCCGTCTGACACGCCGTTATAGTTTCAGACGAAAGTGGATAGATTTGTCACACAGCTTTCCGATTTTTGAATATTTCGTGTATTTCGATAGTTGTGGATATATTTGTCACAAACCTGATAATTGTGGATATACATCTGTATTTTTCCATAAAAAAAGAATGTGAGATAAATTCGGCTAATAATTAGTGTTAACTCTTTAATTAATTATCAATCAAATTTTCAACCGCAAATGAGCAGAGCCGAGCCAAGCCAAGGTTGAGCTGACTCGATAGACAACAGCTCAGCTCTAGCTCTAATCATGCTCACTATGAGCTAGAAAATTATAGCAAGTGCTCAACTCGCCAAAAGTATTTGAAGCTTAGACTCGGCTAATATTTGAAGCTCAGACTCAAACTTGACTCAAAATTAGCACTTGGACAAGCTCAACAAGCCCATCCCAACTACCCCAGCTCAGTTCAATTAAAGCTCAGCTTAAAATTGGGCTTTAACAAAACAAACTAAAATCAACTACTACAAGGAGTTTCATTAATAAAGGCCCAAATCAAATTGAGCTTCACAATGGAATCCATTACCTTGATCCCTAGGAGTTCATTAATTTATAGCTTCATTGAGAATGGATTCTTTGTTCACAAACGATGTGGTATAAAAATTCACTAAGACAACACTGCAATAGCCAGCGCCAAGCTGCAACCATGTTTCAGTTTGGAACTGAGAAATTGATAAATGTGCAATTACAATTTACAAAGTAATGGAATGAATATGACCTGAACTAAGATCGTTTAAGAAGGGAGAGAGGATTTGATTGACAAATCTGTGCTTTTTCTTCTATGTTTTTTTACCAATGGAAAGATAGGAAGATTTGCAGCAGCTAACGTTAAGCCAGGCAAGCTCACACTATGAGGGCAGCTCACATCTTGCTTCTGTGTGTTTTTGATTCGTCTTTGTCAGCAACAGCTCACAGTTACAGTACCATGAGCTTGCTATTTGGAGCAGCAGCTTGAGACGAAGAATTCTTTTGTACATAACTGAAGGACTTGGAATGAATGTTAGGAGCTCTAATGTACAAAGCCTCGTTATAATGGTATTTTTTTTCTATTTCATGGTGTGATTGTGCTCAACATTTGTGCATAAACCACTCGTACTTTCTTTTGTTTGTGAAATTGCATTGGAGCTTAAAGTCTATATGTTATAAAGTAACTCATGTTTGATTAACGATATCCAAAGTATATATGTTATCAAGTAACTCATGTTATAATTCAAGGACACAACGAATATTTAGTCATGATATTAAATGTCTCAAGTCACATTAAGGTGTAATATATGTAGTATAACCAACCTACGAGTTATATCACACATACCACTATAAGAGTTATGTAATGAGCATTAATCAAGTTAGGTTGCGAGCCACACCATCCAGACTAATAATTAAGTATATATACGAGGTAGAAAGAAATTGGTTAAAAATTGTGATAAATATTTTATATTAGTGTAATAAAATGTGTAAGTTGGTAGTGACTAGCGAGTAAGTAACTCGATGCGCTGACCCGAACAACCCGCAACCTGATCCGCCCATAACCCGCCTGACCCGAAGTCCAATGAACCCGCAACCCGATTTGCTCGAAACCCAATTGAACCCGAACTCGACGAACCTGCAACCCAACTAACCCACAACCCGATTGAACCCGAACCCGATTGTACCCGACCCAATAAACCTGCAACCCGACTAACCCGCAACCCGATTGAACCCGCCCCGAACCCTCCCGATTGACACCTATAATTGTAGGTATGGATGATGAAACTTCAAAATCTCTCCGGCGGATGTCAAGCCAGATCAGTAAAGTCGCTCCAAAGATGGTCGCAGCCCTTGCCAGAATAGATAATCGTACTCAGGTGTGCAGACAGCTTTATAAAACATTTGTTTTAAGGGTTGGTATGATTTTTGTGTTATTACGAGGTTACCTAGTAGACATGATTGTTTGCTTTGCTGTTGAATCTGTTATTTGCAGACAACTCTTGCTCATCTTGAAGCATTGGAGAATGATAATGCAGGGCTAGAAATAGTAGAACCTTTTGATGATGATGAGGCATCTATTGATGATGATGATGAAGGTTTGTGCTCTTCATTTTTGCCTGGGATTTGTCTTGATTTTCCTACTTGGAAACTGAAGTTTGAAGGGATGGATATATTATGAATGTAGAGGACACTTAGAAGAGGAAAGTGGCTTTGTTGCGCCTCACTGCTAAATAGCCTGCTCGATTATTTGATTTTGTGATGATTCAATCCAGATCCAGGTCATCATTTGAGTGTAGTTCTGCACTAGGCCCTTACTTAGCTAGTGTTCCTTGTAGTGTCTCCCTGATGATCTATTTTCTAGCAAAAATACTCCTTCGGCATTTTTCCAAGTCCACTTGGTTTTTCTGAATGTCCAGAGAATATTGAGGTTGGGCTCGTCGTTTGCCCCAACCTGTCTTGTTTCAACAGTTCAGTCCAACAGAGATGGGATAGGTCTGCATCTTCTAATATTGCTCCTATTTAGTAATTTAAGATTCATTCTAGCCCATTTGGATTCCTAAACCTTAAGAAAATAATCTCGATCTTGCATTCTAATCTATTGGTTTTCTGCATTAACAAGGTTCTTCCATCTCCTATCTCAGGATATGTTTAGAAGAAGGCCAAAGGTACTAAATGCAAAACTCGACAAGCAAAGGCACTTGAGAAAGCTAGAAAACCACCAAGAAACTTTCTTGAGCTTTTACACGAGGTAACCAGTGTGTAATGAATTTTTTGCTTCATGTTCTATGTTTTCACCTTGATAAGTTCTCTGAACAAAGTGTCCTCGATGTTCCTACTGAAAAAGGCAAATCTGGAGTCTTTGCCACCTCAAGTCCATCTTACTTAAGAGCAGCAGTAGGGCCTCCAAGTTCTACATGTCGTAGACATTTTTGTACTGTCTGTGGGTTTGCTTCCACCTATACATGCATGAGGTGTGGTATGCGTTTCTGTTCTATTCGTTGCTAGACCATATATACATGACGATACTCGTTGTCTCAAATTTGTTGCCTGAAATCAAACGCAAAGAAAATGAGTATCGCTACTTGTATATATAAATTGGAATGACTTGATGAAGATCTGCAGTGATGTGAGAAAACCTAAAATTTAGTTTTGAGCAATTGATTTCTCGTTGGGACTACAAAACCTAATAGGAAAACATTATGAAACAAAAGATGAATGCTACAACCTTCAAGAAACAAAAAAAACCAAACAAACAAATATCAAGACTCTCAAAATCCAAGCCAATCACTAGCAAGTGTGATCGTTAGATTAGAATATATAAAGCGTAAGTAAGGTATAAGGGGTCTGGTGGAATGTGCTAAGGTGTACCGCAAGCCCCATGCATAGCACGCAGACGTCGATTTAACAAAACGTTGCCCCTTCCCCTTAACCCCGTGCTCTCACCTTCTGCCCTATCTCCCCAATTCCCAATTCTGCGATGCCCCTACGACGAGTGAATGTTGGCTAGGCAAGTATTGATCACCTGGCGGGCGGGTTCATCGTGCGTATCACTCTTTTCCCCCACCTTATGTTTCTCAGTCGGTAATTCCTCTTTTCCCTCCGAAGTTACGGATGGCAGCTTGTTAAGATGATTGTCGCCAAGTCCCTCCCGATAGGACTATCTTTCCCTCGATGATATTGCTGGCGGTCGTGGAAGATGATTGTTTTCAAGTACCTTCCGATGAGACTTGCAACTTTGAGTGAGTTGTTGTGAGCAATATTTCAGTCATTGAAATTATATTCATACGATGATGGTTCTTCTAATTGCCACCAAGAGTTGCAGATCGGAATGGAAGAATAGAGAGACAAATTTGTTGTAGCTTTTTGTTTACAGGCAATTAGCTTTCTAATTATCACATTCTTGGTATGTCTTGGTTTTACATTGAAAGAATAGCTCAACATGGAACAAAATATCATTGTTGTGGGTTATAGATTGGAGTATGCGAATTCTGTTATAGATTATTAGATCGTAATCAAATTGAACCTATGAAATTTACCTTCTACCACAAGAGCTACGAGTTTATCAATGAAGTTTACATCACTTATTCCTTTCATTTTCATACTCTCTCTCCCTCTCTTTTGCTTACTATGTGCTTTGTAAGTGTATATACCATTAAACCAAATTCAATTAAAAGTGTATTTATTCCACAATCAAATTAAAAGTGTATTTCTCTCCTTTTTGAATCATCTACCTCCTTACCCGCCATAGAGCGCTGGGAAATTATCTAATATCATGTAAAGGAGAAGAAGCTACAGTTGCAGTCTTCCACATAGTGGTATGTCCAGTGGCGCAGACTGCACAGATTGTGGTTGCCCAACTCCGTTCTCAACTAGCAAAGTAGTGGCCAGGCTCCCAAGTCAAATGTGAACTATGTGGCAATCCAACAACTAGATCCTTGTTTCAACCAAAACCAGAGTTCAGTAAATTTGAAGAACACAAGGAGATTGGGAGTAATTAAAGTTGGATTTTAGTTGATGACTCGAGTTCACGTGGTATCTCAAGAAACCAAGCTAATTCACAGAGAGCATACCTCTCATGTTGAAGGTTTCCCTATGTGCAGAGAAATAAGAATATGTCAACTTAGGTTAAAGGGTTCGGTCGACTCCTCCCTTTTATATCCTTCGGCTAATCACAAGAGTATATGAAAAAATACAAGGTAACTCCCAAACAAAGAAGGAACATACAACCATGTCCAATACTCCCCCTTAAGTTGAAGTATGAAGGTTACAAATGTCAAACTTGGAAAAAAAAGTATGAAACTAATATGTTCCCAATGCGTTAGTGAAATGTATGCCAGTTGAGAGCTGGCATGCACCTTGTGCGGTCGGAGTTCCCCACAGAGTACGTGGTCTCGTACGAAAATAACAGTCCATCTCCACATGTTTGGTCCGTTAATAAAAAACTGGATTAGCCGCAATGTGTAGAGCTGTTTGATTGTCATAGTAGAGAACAGTAGGGGCTCGTTGCTGAACTCGCAACTCGCTGAGGAGGAAGCAAAGCCATAGAAATACACTATTATCGTTGGCCATAATGCTATACACAGCCTCTACCGAATAGTGCGCCACCACTCAATGCTTCTTAGCACGCCAAGAAACTAAAGCACCTCATAATTGAATGTAGTAACCTATCATAGAATGCCTGTTCGGGTGACATCCAACCCTGACCAGGAGCCATCAGAAGGGAAGTGGATGCCCTGACCAGGAGCTATGATAGAATTGGAGCTAAAGGGAATGCTTTCTGTTTCTCGTTCTTGGCATTGCAAGGAGCATACTTGTATTCAAGAATTGCACTTGTGGTTGTGTTGTCAAAAGTTGCATTTTGTGATCTCTGATAGGCTCGATTTGCCATGTAGTACATGCTAGGGATTTGGTCGACCTTCAGGAGGACATTGGTGGTTTGTCCTAGGCCAACCAATATGACAAAGTTGTGAAAAGTTTGGCATAAGAAGCATCCGCTTCCATGACAGTGAGCTTGTGGTTGGCAACAGCGAAGAAGAACTCTTGGCTCATTGCAGCATTGATAACTCCGAGTAGGATCTTTTCTCTAGAATCCACTGAAACTTCACAATTTCTACAGTTTGGCCGAAGAGGCAGAGAGTGTCCTCAACTTTTTAGTTAATTAACATGTTAGTGAACAACAATGAGAGATTGAAGTTAAAGGGGGAAAAGAGTCTAACCTTTGTTGGAGCATCTGTAGAGAATAGAGATCACCAGCTTATGCGTTGATGGTGTAGGCATCAGGGACATTGGGAGCTGCTCTTGTGTAAAGTGCCAGCTTTCTTGAGGATTCTTGTCCCACCATTCCCCTATCATGGATGAAGAGTCATTTTGACTTTGATGTGAAGAAAGAATTTGGATTGAAGAATCAAACTAAAATGGTCAAACTTAGGTATCATTTGTTTGTGGGATTTGGGTGATGGATTTAGCACCCAAATCCCAAGTATCATGGAATTGACACAAATCCATTGTTTGTTAAGGGACACAAATTCGTGGGGCTTACGGATTTGAACCACATTTGTAGATCCAAATTCGTGGACCCCACATATTTGCAAATCCCATATTTTATTTGGGATTTGATAATTGAAGGCAACATGTGAGATAAATCCATCATAAATCCATGATAAAAAATCAACTAACAAACAATGTACTCTTCCAAATCCACAATGCAGCAAATCCATCATAAATCCAAAGGTTTTTAAAACTCAAAACCCTCTTTTTTAAATCCAACTAGCAAACGAGCCCTTAATGTTACGTAATGTTACCAAGAATGGCTAAAAATTCTCGATTGGGGTTGGAAAAGGATACTGAGAGCCTATCTTTGGGACGAATGATTACAGTGCTATAGACGGTTGCTTTGAGCCATCAACTGTGTGCATGTCACCGCAGTGGGCACTCATTCAAATAATTGTCTAATTTAGTTTGACTAGGTGTTTCTCTTAACTTTTTCCTTTGTTGTGCATATTGCTGAAAGGAGAGATCCATAGAAAATAACCACCAAGTGACTGATCACTCGAATAACCAGCCATCTTGGAAATCATAGCATTATTATCAATGAGCCACTCAAAAAATTTGAGCTTCCCATATATTTCGAAATAACATATTGTCGGTGGGGGTACTTGGTCAGAGCATTATCACATATTTTTCAAATCACTCAAAATCATAGCGTTATCATCAAAATTCTCTTTTTATCTTTGTAAAGTGTCTCCACATGTTACTTTAGAGGTTCCTCAATTCAAGAACCTCTTCGTCATCACCAGAGGTATGGGTTCTGGATTTTGTGATTGTGGATTAATAGCAACAACATCCTAATTTTGTGGTTATGCATTAGTAGCAGCAGTCTCTTGAGCCATTTTCACATGTAGTTGAAGATGAAAATGTAAATATTAGTTCCTAATGAATGTGGCAGCAATAATCATAATTCATTCATTTCACTGGACTTATAAATCAAGCTATATTGGAAAACAACAACATATGGTATACAGAAGCAAGAATTATCATTCATTCATGATGTTCATCTATAGGGGAAACAATAATCGATTTATAATATAGAACACCGATAGTTGTAGGGAAAACTAAGATCGACTAATACAAATATATTGATATTTATCTCATGCCTCCAACATCAAGATATTGATCTTTAAAATGTAAGCAAGTAGAATTTTAGGGGAAGATTGAAATTGGGGAGGGGAGGTTTGGTTAATTTCAACAGAGGCTTAGGGTCTCGTCGATGAATCTAGAAATAAAGCTCATGAAATCGAATTGAACATTTATGGAATTGAACTGCTTAGGGAGGATCAATGAACCCCAAAATTGAACTTATAGAAAACAAACTCACGAAATCAAATTGAATTGAACTGTTTAGGGAAGGGTCTCATCAATTTCAACTGTTTATGGATTTAGTAGTAGCAGAAAGAGAAGAGGAAGAAATTAGAAACCTAACCTGACTGTAACAGAGGTTATATATTGAGGGAAGCACCAAAGCACGATGTGGTTGTTTGTTATTGGTTGCCAAAGTGACGAGAAATATGAAACCTTCTTGAGAAAAACTCACTTAATGGAGAATAAAGAGTCGAGGGCGAGGAGGATTGGTCATTTATTGGCTTGGCTCTGGAGAAGACGAGGATTCGAGACTCGAGAGGACTGAGAATGAAAATAGTAATTTGGAACGACGGGACGCGGAATTGGGGCTTGGGGGAAGCTGAAACGCGCGCGCGATTGGCAAGGCTGATGGTCGCTACTTTGTTGAGAAATGTGAGGGCGAGTGGTTGACGAATGGTCTGGGGTAGGCGGTAGGGGTTATTGGGTATTGGTATACTGTACGAGTTCAACACATATATATTATAATATCGATACCCTAATTGTGCTTGAGATTTGCAAGTAGGGGTTTTACCTGTCCCTGAACCCGCATTCATTGATGTAGTATCAATTGATAAATCTTAGGATGCCCTAGGATCGTATTCCATGAGGTATTTTGATAGTAACTACTCAAACCTAACCAATTATATTTGAATG